TAGCAAAGCCCTTGTCAGTCTGGTATGGCAAACCGCTGGGGAAGCCCAACAAAACCCCACAGGCTAATATATAAATTTAAAAAAAAATAAAATAGTACGTTCACAATTTAATGCCTAATATAACCTGTAGGTAAATCTGTGCTAGTTTGGTGAATAATATTCAACCTTTTTTTATTTGACTCTGAAGAGTTGCCGGGATAATAACTGGGAAAACCAAAAAAATCGGTCCCCACTGGCTAATATATAAATAAAAGAATAAATAAAATAGTACGTTCACAATTTAATGCCTTACCTGTAGTGAAACCTGTGCTACTTTGGTGAATAATATTCAGCCTTTTTTTTTGAAAGAGTTGCGGATAACGGCTTGATAACTGAAAGTGTGATCCTAAAACGGTTCGTGCACTAAACTTGAAATGAATTTAAATATACGATTAGGCTGACCAGATTTTAAATTATAATTGAAAATCAGTTTGATGTTTTCTATTATGAATCACTGGTATAAACACTTGTAGTTGTACTTTTACCACCCATTTCCACAGAAAGCCGGAGTGAAAAAAAATTTAGTTGTCTATACATATATAGAATTTTCGAAGCGGCCCAAGGAATAATTCGTTGTCTGGAACACTTAAATGGCAATAAAACTATGCCACTGACCAAATAATCATTGTTAAGGTCGTTAATAACCAATCACCATGGTTTGGTTACTTTTTTATATATGAAAAAAAAAATATTTTGACCGTTGGTATGCCGCGAGTATGGGTTTATTCATTGTTGAAGGCCGTATACGGTGACCTAAAGTTGCTAACTTCTACGTCATCTGGGATCTGATAGAAAGTTGTATCATTGTCAATCAAACCTCATATTCTTAGTAACTTGTCCCAAAGAAATTATATGTACTAACAATAAGGTTTATCTTGTAAAAACTATTTGCATTAGTTCCTTTTACACCCCCACCCGCACCCACACTCTTTTTCCGTTTTCCTCCGACTGGTGGCAGGAAGAGGAGGGGCACGGTTAACGTGACAACTTCACGTTATTTAGCTCCTTTATACAAACACAAACATGCATTAAAATTCCAGTAAACCCGTCCTGTCTAGTGGCATCTGTCTTATGATACTACTGATGAAAATGAATATTTTTTTAAAAAATAATGTAATTTTTACCCGTTTGCGTCTCTATAATACAAACAAATTAACTCCTGGAACCCATTTCAAATTATCAATGAAGGTCGTGTTTATGTGTTTACAGGGAACATTCATTATTTATCAACAGTGAGGGGGTCGGTTCATTTTAGGGGGGGGGGGGGGGGTCATAACCAAAAATATCATACAGCTGGGGGGCGGGTTGCCATCAAAATTTTTATTTGACTGGGGGGGGGGGGGGGGGTCACACAATGAAAGTTTTTATGTCTATCAAGCATATGAATTGTTGATGATATTGAAGTCAGTGTGCAATCTTTTAAATAATTTCTGTCATTATTAAATCTTTGATCGTGTACAAATTCAAATTCAAATTCTGTATTTCCTAATCACAGGGACCTTTCGTGCATTACAAAATTGAACACGATCATTCATACTTGCATACCAATCTTTCTCGCTCCACTCACTCTGATTAAGTTAATTAGATACAGTACATTAGAACATACATAAATGACATATAAGTAATGTACAGTACTAGCAGGCTGTCCAATTTCTCAAGGTAGTGAATCTGATCACTACCTATCACAGTCATCTGTTATGGTTCACCCCATTGAACTATTATATTGACCCCGTCAATATACAATGTAATACTTCCATGGTTATCACTCGGGGGTTATCAATAGGATGTGAAAGTTGAAAATCCGACTTATCACAAGATTAACACCTGTATTACACCCCAGTTCTATTGTTATACTTCATAGTCTCTATTTCTGAAACATTTGTTCCTAGTGTTTTAATCATTTTGATGCGATTTCTTAGGTGAGGATAGATGTGGGACTGTAAAAGGTCTGTACCTTCTAAAAATATTTGTAAATAGGTGTATATAATTATTTTATGAAATTATTTCAAAGATATCTAATAATAAAAAAAGATTATTTAATGTTCCAATCGAGGACCCTTTTTTTGGTCAGCATGGCATTCTGAGACACACTAAACAATACACTGGGATTTTGTAAAACATTTTCACATTGAAATAAAATGTTGAATGTTCATATAAGTATTAACCTACATATATATTTCTTTATCTCAAATAAATCATGTACATTTTTGTACATATTTGATTCAGGAAGGACTAGATCCATAAAATCAGTAATATTTGTAATGTGTAATTTTCAGTTGCACTTCCAAGAGTGAGATTGAAATAAAAAATTAACTATTTGATGAGAAAATTAAAATTCACAATAGCATTTATAAAACTTCAAAATTTTAATAAAGGCATTAAAAGAATTGAGACATGTTTCCTCTTTTTTTAATCTTTTTTTTTTCATTCACAAATAATTCTGTGTAAGACAGTAAATTTACATTTATTATAGTAAAAATCATTATTGAAAAGTTGATATACAAAATTTGTAGAATTATAGGTTGCAGTCAAATAAATTGGAACAAAGACTTTTTTTGTTTTTTTTTCTATTACAACATTCCATTTATTTATAATAGTACATGCTCATGTTTATAAACAAATTTGGCTAATTCTGGCTTTAATTAAAGGGGCACTAGCTACGAGATATATAGAAAATCTAAAATATGATTTTTTTCAATCATTAATGAAAGTGAAATAGTGAAATAATTATTCGCTTTTAGTAGCCACTATGGTTCAATTTTGTCAAAATAAGCGAAGAAACATTGATGATGAATTATTCACTTGCATTCGATTTTGAATAAATTTTCTTTTTAATTTCTGAAATCTGAAATGAGAAAAATTGTAGCCACCCCACAAATTCTTATTTACACATAAATTTAAACACAAGTTATTGTCTGGAAACTGCAAAAATGCTTATTTGGGCCCCTTTTTTGGCCCCTAATTCCTAAACCTTTGGGACAATAACCCCAAAAATCAATCCCAACCTTCCTTTTGTGGTTATAAATCTTGTATTAAAATTATATTGATTTCTATATACTTATACTAAAGTTATTATCCGGAAACCATCTGTCTTCGGACGACGCTGACGACGACGACGACGGCAACGTGATACCAATATACGACCAAAACATTTTTAATTTTTGCGGTCGTATAAAAAAACAAGAAGAAAAACACTATAGTAGACACAGGGTTTTCTCAAAGAAGGATAAAGCTGAACAATGTTTACTAAAGTCAGTTACATCAGCTTCAAAACAAAGAATATTGAAGGTCATGATGATTTGATTTGATTTAATTTTTGGTGTTTTAACGCCACTTTTAAGCATCGCTTTTGGGATATTTCGTGGCGGCCAGTTTTTATTGGTGGAGGAAGCCGGAGTACCCGGAGAAAACCACCGACCTTCGATAGGAAAACTGACAATCCTAGTCAATTAAGATTGGAGTCGAGTGCACCCGCACGAGCGGGGTTCGAACTCACAACCTCAGTGTTGACTGGCTAGTGATTACAGTAGTAACGACTTAAACCACTCGGCCACCGAGGCCCGAAGGTCATTATGAAACATCAATGCAATATAATATTTACAGAATATCATTTACTAATGCATGACTGTTTACCAGACAAAGTAAATTATCTTTACCAAATTAATAAGTTCAAGCTACTTATATCAAATAACAGAACTATGGTGTAGAATGTATAATAAAATATCTGTTCAAAATCAAAGAAATCAGTACTGAAACCAAGGAAAATCTCTTAATACCGTATAGTGTCCACATACTTCTCGATCATGGCTATTTTTCCATTCAATGCCTGCAACTATGTACTATGTAGCTTGCAGTCATCATCTTCTCCCAACTGTTAATCGTAAGAGATTTTAGTTAGGTGGAGGGGGGTCAAACTTTTGAAACTTTGTTCTCAAAGGGGGGGGGGTCATTATGTGGTTCATAAGAATCATGGGGGTTACCAACAAAACCTTTTAATGTGAAAAAATTGAACCGACCCCCTCAGCTGGTAAATAGTGACCATTCCCTTATTTAGATCCAGTTTTTTGGCTAAATTTATCAAATTCATATATTACTGTATAAGCCGCGTTACAATATTATGATAATAATTTCCATAGGATTCCATTCTAGACACCACCCTTCTTTGGTCCAATTATTCTCTATTCTTTATTTTTTGTCTACTAGTATTTTTTTCTTTTCTTTCTTTTCTTGTCTATTTTTTCTGTATTCTTTATGTTTCGCCCTTTAATTTGCACTGTTGGGCCATTATCTCTAACGCGGCCAATTTAGTTTTAATTTGAAGCACTTAGTAATTGATTAGAATATGGTGCATACAAAAAAAATTATGACCGAAGTAGTCTTATTTGTCACAATTTATTATTTCTGAAAAAAATGTGTTTATTTTTATTGCAGAAAATTATATCCCTACAATCATTGCATCAGAAAGCGGACGTAATATTTAGAAAATACATTTTTTTAAAGCCTCATACTTTTCGCTATCTTACATATGCATCTATTTTAGTAATAAAAATTTGTTGAATTTACGCTTCTCTTTCTTTATATCAAGGATTTGTATAGTAAATCCTTGTTTATATAAAATCCTAGCTACACACGGCATTTCTTTCACTCCGAAAACAAAAACGATGAGACTTCTTCTGTCGATTTAAAGTTTAATACTATTAGTAAGCCAGACTTGTATAACTATATCTACAATATATATTATGAAATACATATATGAAAAGTTACGTGGCCTTCGCTGAGAAGAAATTTCCAGAACTTTACGTAAAGAGTATTTTTAGAAATTATTTCGTCAGACGAGGGCAATTCCAGTCGTGTTCGAATAGTAGTTCGATAACATTTTCCCATACTACAATGTTAAACATACAATATGACTGTGTTCGAACATACACTAGTTCTATTTTTGCTGATGCAATTTTTAAAATAACCTTACATGCTTTAAACAGCTGATATCTATCGAAACTAAGTCAAATCGCAATTCAAGTTCTTAAAGAAACGTAGTGTGTAAACCTTCTCTTGCATCCGAATTAAACAAAGTTTATAAAACAAAAAATAAAGTGGAAACGCAGTTATGGTTCGATTTATGTGTCAGAATTTTATTTGTCAGGACGGAGGGGATACAGTCGACCAAAGAAGGGCCGAGAAAGCAGTGACCGCATTATTTAAAACAGAAGACAAAACACCGTTTAAGACATTCTTTAGTGAAACAGATAGTGGAACGAGCAGCGATAGCACAACCCATGAGATTGCACGAGACGGAGAAAGTGACACAGATGAAGAACGTCTATACATTGAGATCAAAGAGGAAGCACTTAGAACTGGACAAACCGAAGCTGAGGTAAGAAAATTACGGCACGTTCTCTCTCAGAGGTGGGTATAGAGGGACAGGGGGCCCGCCCCCTTTATATGCCGGAGCTACATGTATAGGGCATAGACTTTTTGTTCTACTTTTAGTTTTGTGTCCCCTCTTTTTCAAAATCTCTTTTTCTGTCTGCATGTCTTTCTTTATTTATTCACATGAATCAAGTTTTAAAAGTGCAGTTAAGAAATACATTTAAATTTTAAATACCTGTAATTTGATATTTATGAACTTGCGTAATATTATATAAACTTGTATACAGGTAAACAACACAAGAAAAGTCAACAAGTTAAACGACCTATACATATATAAATATAGTTATGACGAAAACAACAAATTTAAGATTGATTTTGCATGAGGATCTAGACGGGGGTTTACAGAATAGAGAATTATTATCGAATAAAATAAAGAATAGAGAAAAATGGACCCTAAAGAATAAACAATAGAGAATAATGGGGTGCTAAAATATAAAGAATAGAGAATAATGGGCAAAACATCTAAAGAATAGAAAAAAATGTCATAAAAAGATAAAGAATAGAGAAAAATGGCTTAAAAAAAAAGAATAGAGACATGAAGGACCCCCTTCCAGACCCTCTTGCATGATCGTTCTACTACGGCACTTGATATCAAGTTGAAAAAGGGGAATACATGCATGGTCATGGTGGTGTCCTGAACTGTCTTCCGAAGATTTCAAGTTGGTTTTTAGAACAATATTAATTCCAAAGGGATTTAAAATATGGTTATTTATGTGAGCCTATATATGTAACTTTCAAAATATTTTCTCGTAAATGTTTTTTACTTACCTTAGTTTTATCTTGTCGTGCAGGTTAATAACAAGAGGAAAGAGAGGCGCAGGGAAAGAAATAAACGATCAGCTAAGGCATATAGGAAAAGGAGGCGAGAGCATAAATCTGAAGTAGATGAGGTAGGTTTATTTTTTTATTTTTTTTTTTAAATTATTTACGTCTACGAATTGAAATGACCCTTCTTAATGAATTTCAATGACTTAATCTAAAGGGGGGAAATGATATTTGATGATTGACTAGTGATTGCTTTACGCCGCATTAGCACAAAAAGGCTATATCGCAGCGATAGGGAAAATGATAATATCTCAAATCCCGGCATCTGTCTGTCACTCACTTGACAGCAAATGACCCCAACAGAGGAAAGGTGCAACGGTGTTGTGAACAATCACAACTGAGTCAAGTTGCAGTATTTTATAATGCCTGTCTATTTTAAACAACGGTAGATCGTTGTAACCCTAGCGTCAAGTGGCAAATATTTGACTTATATTCAGTATTATAAAAAAAATGATAAACAATGATACCAGGGACGCTGGTTCCAAAAAACTGTCACTCATTGACACCCCCCCTCTTTTTCCACACACACACATACTGGTAATCGTTCTAGTCATAAGAAAAAATAGGTCAAGCTAGTTCATTGAAATGAAGAATTATCGGTAGAGGTAATCATCAAATTCTAAAATTTCAAAACGTCTATTAATTTCAAAAGGCAATACGTTTTTTGATTTAAATGGTGAATCAAAGATTGCCTCTGGCAGTTAATGTGTTTACCCATGCAGGAGCCAAGAACAGAAAATAGTAAATTTAAGAGTGCACAGCAGTAGCAATAGTTTTCAAATCCAAAATACATGTTTAATGCTCAAATTCTTCCATTTCAGACCTTGAACGAATTAATGGAGAAAAACTGCCTTCTTCGACAGAAAATTGAAAAGATTGAAGAGGAGAAGACCATTGTTTTGGGAATGTTAAAGACAAAGATTAAGATTCCTTGGCCCTATCCAATTTGGATGGGTTCTCATCCCACAGGAATGTGGTCTACAGTGGATGGTTCCATGTCTACACAAATTGGCATGAACTCGGTCGTCCAAGAGGTCACCGTGGCTTCGTGAAGCTGCAGTATGCTGCCATGTTGTGGATGAAATACTGTCGCTCTAAAAGTCACGTATTAAGCAATATGCACGTGCTCTTCGGAGACAAATGACGTAAACAATAGTTTGTCACTGTTATTTTACGCAAGACAAACTTTTCTTCAGTTGTACTTACACAATATACATTTGTCTCCAATCCATTTATAAGACACATTTATTGTTGTCAAAGAATAAATGCTATATAACCATACTGATAGGTGCATATGATATCTAAAAATTGCATGCATCAGCTCATATTACATAAGTAATTTTGCACGATTAAGAATACAAACGTCTTCTTTGACATTGTCTTGTATGTAAATATGTAAATAATATTATTGTGAGCGACAGAATATTATTACTAATTGTTCATGTTACTTGTTCGATGTTATAGTTTAACGTTGCTTTGTACACATCTATTATCTAACTGGAAAGATTCAATAAATAGATGTTGAAAGTTTATTATTGTTTTTCACTTTTTATGGACATAAAACTGAATAACTAGAACATCCTAGATACTTGAATAGCTCACTTCGGAAATTTACCAATCAACTGAACTGCTCTATATGTAAGCAGGTAATTTCTGATAAATTTTATTTTAAAATGGCCAATCACGGCTGCCACTGGTGGCCATGTTATTCATACAGATGCATTCCAAATAAGGAGCATCGACACGGATCTAGCTTCCCTTTTTATACGCCCGTTTATGGGACGTATTATGGTATACCGTTGTCTGTCTGTCCATCCGTCCGTTGTCAACATGTCGGACATTAACTCAAAAACGCTTTAACCAATTCGCATGATACTTTGGTGAAATGTTTATATCTATTGACGTGAGCTCCCTTTCGTTTTTTATACGCCCGTTTACGGGACGTATTATGGTATACCGTTGTCCGTCTGTCCGTCCGTCCGTCTGTCCGTCTGTCCGTCCGTCGTCAACATGTCGGACATTAACTCAAAAATGCTTTAACCAATTTGCATACAATTTTGGTGAATTGTTTATATCTATTGACGTGAGCTCCCTTTCGTTTTTTATAAATTTAAGATTTTACGTTTCCGAGTTATGGGGTTTTATTCATAAAAAAAAGGGGGATTTTCCAGTTTTCGGATAAAAAATCAAAACTGCTTTCAGCAGTTCTTATGAAACTTTGGTGAATTGTTTATATCTATTGATGTAAGCTCCATTTAGAATTTTATAAAGTTTTCATTTATCATTTCTGAGTTATGGGGTTTTATTCATTAAAAAAGGGGGGATTTTCCAGTTTTCCGACAATAACTTCAGCAGTTCTTATGAAACTTTGGTGAATTTTTTATATCTATTGATGTAAGCTCCATTTAGAATTTTATAAATTTTTCATTTATCATTTCTGAATTATGGGGTTTTATTCATGAAAAAAGGGGGGATTTTCCAGTTTTCGGACAATAACTCAAAAATGCTGTCAGCAATTCTCATGAAACTTTGGTGAATTGTTTAAATCTATTGATGTAAGCTCCCTTTACATTTTCATAAATTTCTAATTTGACATTGAGAATTAATTGAACTTTATTTGTTTATAGTCTGACAACAGATTTACTAAGTATTGCGCAACAGCACAGTGTATTGCACAACAGCAAGAAATCTTTAATTGAATATAAATTAAATTCATATAACTAATTTCAAGTTCTTTGACTACATTCATTCAGAAACCTATAATATGTCAAATATTTAATTACAATCCAAATTCAGACCTGTATCAAGCTTGAATAATGTGTCCATTTTTGCCCCAACTGTTCAGGGTTGGACCTCTGCGGGCGTATCCAGCTGCGCTCAGCGAAGCAGTTTATTATAAATTTTAGATTTGACGTTTCCGAGTTTTGGGGTTTTATTCATTACAAAAAGGGGGATTTTCCAGTTTTTGAACAATAACTCAAAAACAGTTTCATCAATTTGCAAGAAACTTTGGTGAATTGTTTTTATATATTGACATGAGCTCCCTTTGGACATTTATAAATTTTAGATTTTACGTTTCCGAATTATGGGGTTTTATTTATCCGTCGTCAACATGTCGGACAATAAGTCATAAACGCTTGAACCAATTCGCATGAAACTTTGGTGAATTGTTTATATCTATTGACGTGATCTCCTTTTCGTTTTTTATAAATTTTAGATTTTAAGTTTCCGAGTTTTGGGGGGGGGGGGGGGGGGGGGGTTCATTAAAAAAGGGGGATTTTCCAGTTTTCGGACAATAACTCATAAACACTTTTACCAATATGCAAGAAACTTTGGCGAATTGTTTATATCTATTGCCATGAGCTCCCTTTTGAATTTTATAAGTTTTAGATTTTACGGTTTCCGAGTTATGGGGTTTTATTCATTAAAAAAGGGTGGAGGTTCCAGTTTTCGGACAATAACTCAAAAATGCTTTCAGCAGTTCTCATGTAACTTTGGTGAATTGTTTATATCTATTGACGTGAGCTCCCTTTCGAATTTTATAAATTAAATTATAATTATATAAATAGAATTTACGTTTCGGAGTTATGTGATTGTATTCATAAAAAAGGGGATATTTTTCAGTTTTCGGTCAATGCTTTGAGCAGTTATCATGAATCTTTGGTGACTGGTTTATATCTTTTAAGATAACCTCCCTTTAGTTTTTCATGAATTTCTGATATGACATTGAGAAGTTATAATTTATTGAACTTTATTCTTTGAAAAAGAGACGGGCGTATCGTGCGCTCACGGCGCAGCTGTTTATTCATACCTGCTATACGTGCTTAAATAATACCAAGTCGTTTCAGAAAATATAATTAGAATGGGATTTTACATAGGATTTCTCTAAGGAATTTGTGCCACCGTCCGATACCACCATATTTGTCACCCGTTGTTAGAAGGTCCTTCACTCAACAATTTCTCTTTGCAGATTAAAATAATTTCACCCTTGTCGTTTCAAAGAATTTTTTAAACTTGTATTACCCTATAGTAATCATGTTTTATCCGGAACCAAATGAAAATCTTTTATAGATAATAGAATACCTTATGATATACACCATTTCCGAATACATGGTACATAATATGTAAATTTGAAAAGTGGTTTCAGAAAGAAGATGAGAATGTGAAATCGGTTTACTGACGACGTATGTCAAATGATTGTAATAGCCCCGCAATCCATCTGCGAAAAAAAAAAATACGTGTACGTCTATGAGTAAGCAACCCAACGACACAAACACATATGACTTCTCATCATACGATCTTCATCCGGAATATACTGTGTCACTATACACATTGTCAAGCTCTAAATCGCCCCGAATCAAAACTAAATGTCTGCCTAAATTAACAGAGGATCAGTGGAACAAAATATAGTACATACAAGAACGTACTCATTAAAACCCTATAGTGGAAACAGTTCACTCTATAATAGACAACAAAAACATAAATACAAACAGTTTAAATATACTATTGAAAGTTTCGAAATCAGAAATCGTCCTGAACATATATGGAATATTTGCCACTGGACGTTAAGCAACCAACCATTAATTGGTGCATGGAATGAAGCGAGAAACTCTTCTTATGATAAAGGTATAATCAAAATCAATTGTTTTTACGTATTTAAACACCGAACATTTACTACATATTCATTCATAATTTGATTTTTTTTTTTGGGGGGGGGGGATTTCGTTTAATTTTATTGAAATAAAATCATTGGTTTCCATTTTAAATGAGCGTGGGTTCAACTTTCATTCTTGTTCTTGCAAGCTATTGCTAAAAATAGTTTTATCAAAAGTCGAAAAAGTTATTTTGAGACACCGCCACCCCCCCCCCCCCCCCCCCCCCCTTTTTCCCTTTCCCCCAGCTGAATGCTTGATTCCGAACTATACTGAATAAAAAGTTCTGCATATTTTCTTGTTTCCAGTATAAGATACTTGCTATACTGAAATTTAAAAAAAATTATTATCTTTGCACCATAGTGACGAAAAAAATAAGGTACGTAAAATCTCTACAGCCATTTCCAAACACCAATTTTCAGAGTGTTCCACATAAAGCATGGTACAATTTCCAATCTTACCATTTTTCATAACTTGTTTTTGGGTACACCGAACAAATGGAAGATATGAACAAAACAAACAAAACATATTGTTATACCATTTAAAAAATAGCAGTGACAAACGAATGTCACGGACGGTCAAAGGTAACACTTAATGTCCCTGTCGCCTACGGCGGTGGCATAAAAACAAACCAACTATATGGGAACAAATGTAATAAATGCGATAAAACAAAAAACAAATAGAGCCTTGTGACGTGTAACATTCTGAAAGTATTATTTTTAGGTATAAACATTTATACATTCTACTTTTGTATATCCTCGTATATACATTTGCCTGGAATTTTTATGCAAAATAACATGTTAGTCCTTTACACAAAACCTGGAACCTATAAACCTATTGCATAATTAAGCGCACCTCCGCAAACAAGGTTGGGGTAAATAGGAATCGACATGTCTGTATGTCTGTCTGTGCAAACCATTTTTTTATCCTTTGTGTGATTCACTTCAAACTTAGTAGAATAATTGATCATGATACGCAATCATTCGAATGGTTTTATTTTATTCTGTTTAGTTTATCAAGAGTTATGCCCCTTTCACCATTTAAATGTTTCACTCCTCCTACTTGGTATATCTCTTCTTCGTGAATCTGATAGTCATTACATTATGAGATCCTCGTATGCAGATGTGCATGTAGGTAGGATTTTCCCGCCCATTGTGTTTTTTTTTTTTATTAAAGTTATGTCCCTTTCAACTTAGAAGTTTTTTCCCTGTTCAACACATAACTTGTCATCGCAGCTCGTACATGTATCTACTCAAAACTTGGTATGTTGTTAGACCCTGATATGCATGTGCCTTAATATAGGATTTTTTATTCTGTTCAGTTTATCCAGAATCATGCCCTTTTCACTGTAGAAATGTGTACCCTTTTCAGAACCGACATTGTCAACGCAGCTCCTACATGATTTATCGTATTTACATGAAACTGGGTGTATTGTTAGTTTGTTATATATAAATTTGCATGTGGGTATGATGCTTCAGTCCATTGAGTTATCCGAAAGACATGCTTCTTTGCATTTCGAAAATTTTCATCCTGTCCTGCACCTACCCTGCGTCGCAATTTCTCCTTCGTTATTTATAACATCCTCATGGAAGTTTGTACATTATTAGATCCTAATAAGTAAATGTGCATCCAGTCCATTCAATTTTTCTAGAGGAATGCCCCATTGAACTTGGAAAATGTTGGCCTTATCTAGCTACCTTGATATAGCAACTCCTTAAACATGGTTCATATTGAGCAAACGGTAATGTGAATATTTCTATTTGTGTGAAAGTTCATTTTGTGGTCCTCTTTGCGGTCCGCTCTTAAACTATGTCGATTTCTTTTAAAAATCAGAAACAACTATTTGGATTTAAATAAAGTGCCGGGTTTAAATTATAGGATATAACGATATATGTACATTGTCAGATATATCAAATTTATTTGTACTCGCTCCGAACTTGACAGGAGAAAAACTCGGCGAGTCTCGCTTTTCGTCCTGTTTCTAACGCTCGTATAATACAAATGAATTTCATATTTTCCGAAAATGTACATATATTGTAAATATCCTGATATGAAAATATTCGTGAAAGTAGGATTTACATACATGTAATTAAAACACTAGAAAAAGTTTAAACTATATCACCAACTTCTTATATTCCCTGTATTGTAGTCTATCCTGGGTGCGGGGGTACGAGCCCAGCTTATAGCGGACAGTTTTTGTTTTATGGTTCGCGTTGCCCAATCTTTGTTCTATCGTGTAGTGTTTTGTGGACAATTTTTCTCGGATTATGATTTAGATTATTGTCTGGTATATCAAGGCTTCCTGTCTTTGTTAATTAAGAGCATTGCAAATCTTTTAATAATATTATTGTAATGTCTTAGAAAATTAAAGGCTGTGTGGTTTCTCAGTTGCGCACTTACTAAAACATTTTTTTTTCATTTGTTTCAAAATATAGTTATCAATACAAAACTTCTTTTACCATCCACTCTGATTTTTTTCAATGGACATACAAAACGTATTCTGTTATATTCATGCTTTTTATAAAGTTTTCTGTCAACACGTTTCTTGGTTTTTAATGGTGCATTACAGCATTTATGTTGCTTCTCGGGTCTTGAATAGGGCGTAACTGTTAGTTTTATGAAAATCATAAAGTAAAGACGGCTGTGAGTTTAAAGTAATGAATCCAAACTCTATGTTTTAAAGCCTGTTAACAAACAATAGGGTACAATCCAAATTTATAAAAATACCACTATATGTATATATTAACCACTTTTGAACAAACTCCTAAAAGATGTTTTTCAAATTTGATTTGAAATGTTACTGATACCATTAATAGAGACTGTGATTTTATTAGTGGTCATATTCCACTACAAGAAAGCATAATTGGACTAAAACAAAAATAAAGTTTCATATGGGAAGACATCTGTCGAATCAGATTATGAACACCGCATTTTCATTATGCAAAACAATGCATTTTAGGCTTTTCTATAAAGGAAATTAACATAATATTTCTAAATATTTTGTGATCTGTACAATAAATATTCAAATTATCAATTATAAAAAAAAACTTTAATTTGTAATTTCCGTCCTCTTTCATTCGATACCATTGTCATTGTATTGTGGCGACTGAAACGATCACGGGTTTCGATCAGTATTTCCGTAGAAAGAGTCTTTCTTTCGACACAAAAGAACGATAACCGACGTCTAGGTTTGATTTTGGATTGAAATATTAGTTCAATAAACTACTATCAATCTGTAACTGCGTCAAAGATTTTACCAGATACAACAGACCCTGTTGCCCGTCCCGCTAAACTCCCTACTACGCCTCCAACAGTTCCCCCAATAACACCTCCAACTACAGGAATCGGACAAACAATCTGACCAATGAATGCTCCAAGAAATCCAGTACCCGTTGCTACGGCAACTGAAGAAGCGGAACCACTGACTTTCTTTGTAACTTGTCTTTTAAAACCCTTTTCACTAATAAGACCGTTTTTCTTTTGTTTATTCAGTTTGTGTATATCAATTCCGCAGAAGACAGCTTCTACCGGAACTGCAACAGCAGCGGTAATGCCTGCCGATACACCAGCGGCTACAGCTGAAGGCCCGACCTTAGCAGCAGTTGTTGCACCTGCTTTGGCAGCTAACGCCGCAGCGGTAGATTTCGGTAAAGCTAGGTCTTTAATAAGACTTCGGGTCACAGCAATGTCAAGAAGTGCGTCTCCTGAGTTGGTAAATGCATTTGCAAGCGATATCGCAGACAAACGCGTTGGTAGATCAGACTGTCCGTTTTTAACAACTTTATTGCGATGATCTATTCCACTGTCAATAACATCCATTAAAATTCTTTTCCCTGCACCACTTTGTTCAAATTGTTCACATTTAGCCTCACCTGTTAAGACCCACGTGACGAATGATTCACAGTTATTGCTTGTTAAGCTGTATTCAGCTTCTCCACTTCGATAACTTGCTCTCAGATACGCCATCTCCATTTCATCACCAGTCGACGGGTACTCTTGCCTCGTTATGAAAAATACACCAGCTGAAAAATCTAGTAATTTTGAATCAGTTTCGTCAAATCTTATCGTCTGCCGAGTAACTCGTGCCACTGATCGAGCTTTCTTTGCATAATTTCCAGGAGTATAATGTATGATGTCAACAGAATAAAAACCCACATCCAAAACGAGATAATGATGGAAATATTTTACTTTACATCTTGTCCGCACAACTGCAACATGTGTTAGATTTCGAACGCAGGTATGGTATTCATACATATTTTCTATTTTTTGCGCACCTGTTGGTTTTTCCTATCAAATATTAATGAAAATTTTAAAAAATATTGTAATTACAAATGCATGTTGAAGACAGCAATATATTGTGTGTGTTCTTTTATTTTCCTTCATTTTATTTTATTTTAAATATATTTAATGAGTAACCGAATTTTATGTCTGTCTTAAAAACTGTTATCAGCAGACTCGAACATGACCTTCCTCGACTGACAGCCCAAATAAATATGACAAGACTAAAAATAAAACATCTTCTGTTTATGGAAGGCCTATTTCAATGCACATTCCTTCTACATTGTCCTCAGTTACTTTAAGTTTGAAAAAATTAAGAAAAATAGATAAATTTTATATGGGGGTGTATTTATTGGCTTCGTTCCAAGTTCTTGAATTGAAAGTACTTTGAGGTAATTTACGGGTGTTGTTGTCGTTAATGTCGTTTTATTAGTTGTGAATCAATATGTAAGTTATTTATGATAGTTATTTATTTTTCACATAATAAGACCCTCTTGGGGAGTCAAAGAGATATGTATAACAGGAGGTAGATAACTATTTCTTTTCTTTAATATAGACTTCCTTGTAGAAAGAAAGCGTATTATCCTACAAACCATGACAGTTACAAACATTAGGCCGATATTAGTTTTCTCGTTTGAATTGTTTTACATTTGTCATTTCGGGAACTTGTATAGCTTGCTATGTGATATAGGTTTTGCTCATTGTTGAAGGTCGTAAGGTAACATTCAATTGCTAACCTTCTAAGTCATTTGGTCTCTGGTGGATAGTTGTCTCGTTGACAATCATACCACATCTTCTTATTTCTATATTACTTCATATGTTCCAAATCACTGAGAAAAGATGTTAAATTTTCAAAAGTTCTATAGTGGTTTTGTGCAGTTTGGAATAAATGCAACACACAAATTATTTTAACATCTAAAAATTAATGTTTATACTTAACAAATAAGTCACATTAAATCGGGTCAGATATCAGTTTATGGACTGTTCAGTCATCCCCAAAAAACTATTTTGAACTTAGTTTCCCTACGGTCTATTAACTTTTGGAAGATTACTGTCCATAAACTTCACCCAAAATAAAATGCACTATTTGTTAACCATACTATTACACCACTGTCCCGGGTTTAGGGAGGGTTGTGTGCTCACGGGCATGTTTAACAAAGCCACAATTTTTGCCAATTTTTTTATATTCTTTATTTACCCCCTCCCCTTTTTCTGCGCATTTTGCTGATTGTTCTCTATTCAGTAAACGCCATACCCTCATATCGTCTTAATGTGTTCATATTTATTGACTAAAGGACACGCCCTACCCAATCAAAGAATGCCAGTTAAAATTGTATTCTTAATAGTTTCATCACTGTAGTTATGTTCACATGTCTAGTTTCGCGTATACTTGAAGTACTTCAATAAAAAATTGTTTTTGCTTAAACGGTAGATATGATTGCAACTTTCGATTTTGGTATTATGTTAATACTTATTCAGACATTTAGCTAACAAGAAAGAATATTTTTAATATATCAAATATATATATGTTTGGATGATCGATCAAACTTACCATAATTAGCGTAAGTCTGTTATTTCTTCGCCAATAATTGCAAGAAGCTACTCAAAATGTATAAATACCATAAAGATTCAAGAAAAATGAGCCAAATGATTGGTTGATAAATATATTGTACCATATATAGCAAGCATTACGTAAATGGTAATGACGTGTTCTGACAATTATAGCAGATATTGTATATTTAAAGGACAAACAATAAAAATGTGTATCGATTAAATTCAAAATAAGGTTTTATTTATAAATTGCCATGTGGATTGTATAAACAAATACATATACTGCAGAAATTAAGTAGATTTAAACATCACAAAGAATGTCACCGACTTAACACCCATGAGGGTTTGGATAGGATAGTGATTTATTCAGGAAAGAAAAGCAATCGGGTGCTAAAATATACAGAACAGAGAAAAATGACAAAAAAATAAATACAGAACTATGGGGTTCTAAGAGATAAAGAATACAGAATGATAAGCTAAAAATTAAAGATCAGAGAAAAATGGACTAAAATTAAAGAATACAGCAATGAAGATCCCTACATCAAGACCACAGTCATAGAAAACTATTTGATTGGCATTTTTTCCACATGATTTAACCTTAAAGGAAATTAAGAAAATAAAACGATATGATAGCATCATACTGAAAAAAAAAAAACAAAGACAACATCTAAAGAAAAAAAACCACAAATAATACATAAAACAATACAAAGAAAATAAGAGAATGTGCTGTGTGAATTCATATGCCACGGAATGGGTAACATTTGAAAAGTGAAGTTTTATGGCATATTTGATAGATTTTTCATATTTAAGCTTGAATTTGAGCGTCTTTAATGACCAAATCACTCCAAATCTTTTACATAAACTAATTGAATCGACTGAAGTAGACACTTCAGTGTTTAAAAAATGTCAAAATCTTTCATCAGATGTACTTCGAATTTGAGGCCAAAACTAGCCCTTACCGGAATTTCTCCTTTCAGATTTATTTAATGATGTTTGAATGATTGTTATTGCTTGTTGTCCAGTGGCACATATTTCATGCATATTCAGGAGGAAAAACTAATTAACATTAAATTTGAACTGAGAACTGTCAACTTGGAATTGAAGAATAACAACCTGCCAGCAGTAGCCATTAAAATAGGAATTTTAAAATGAAACTTTTATAACCGGAGTGTTAGTTCTATACAGTATAATCTATAGCTGAAATAATCCACCAAGTTTCAAGATGAAGACAAAAAATTGCATTTCTGTTACCAAATTCAATCATGCATGGTCTATCTGTATGAGATGAAAAGTAAGATACGGTCTGATTACCAATGAGACAACCCCTTTAGTAAATATTTAAATAATGTTCATCTTAAAGAACATTTACACAAACTATTTAGAATGGTCCGTTTGACGTTTCTAATATTTTTTCTTTCACAAAGAGCCCTTCTGCAGTTCAATGGAGTTTCAGACTCGGCCATTCGCTATATTGATTACTTATTATCATTCTGAATATTCATGAAATAGTTCCATTTGGTAAAGTTATGCGCATCTTAACACAGCTACGGGCGGGCATCCTTACAAAAAAGTTACCATCATCCCAAGATTTCAGTCATGCATATCGTTGACAATTTGCCAAAACTGACATTTTCATCACGAGGATCCATCTTCGTCTCATATATCGTTTTTACTGATGAGATGAGAGAAACTATCCATCATTTTGTATGATTATTTTTTTCTCTCGTGTTAGAACAAAATTAAATGAAAGCAAACATTCCATTCATCAGCTTCAGCGTCTTCTATTTTCAGATTCTGGTTACTCAAGTTACGCGCATCAGATCCCCCCCCCACCCCCCCACCCCAAATGCTTTACTAACAGCTAACTTTTACCAGACATTAATTATCATAAAACAGAAACCGATCATGGCGACATAGTACAAAAATGTACGAAAGTCACGAGACGTCCCCACTGAGGACACATCGCATGTCTTACAATTGAGGAAAAAGATAACACTGATTCGGGCAAAATGCTACCTTCATGCTAGATGAACATGGGCGTATATTAACTTTGCCATGATGCTTATGCATTGTGTTCTAAACTGCTTGGTTTATTGTTGAGTGTTCAATGTGACAGGTAAAAAAATGGCAAGATAATTATGATTGAACTATAAAAAGGCTAAGACAGTACTTTTCTGAAATGACAAAGTTATAATTTTCTTTAACAACATGATAATATATACGATTTATTTTAACATATCTTGACGTTATTTCAGCACGAGACGTACAATTTAATGTCTCGCCTATATAGGTCTGACCTATGCCGCTTTTGTCTGACAAACACCCCTTTTGGCAACTACAGATGAAAAATTGAAAATCACATTTTTTTTTTTTAATTTTCGACACCTTATTCCGCCTAAGCATGTGTTTATTTGTATAAATCTTAAAAAAGGTAGAATGCGAGGCTCTGCCAATCATTTCTATCATATTTAGGGCCGATTGCATGATACAACATATGTTCTGAGACAATGCAGGTTGATCTCTTTATACTTCTGTGAACGGACTGATCTAACATTCAAGTAAAAGTAACGTTTTCGGGATAACTTTTTACTTAATGCTGGCACAGCCACGAAATAACCATACTAACCCAGGTTCTATGTACTTTACATAAACTATGAAGACCAGTTCTGCCCTGGACACCTTGTCACACTAGGGGACAAGTGTCTACAACAACCGACATAACGGACAATTCTCTGGGAGGACAAAGCTAATACTCGACCGGACAATAATTTGGACATGTATAAGCCAGCATTCTGGGAAGGGAAGTCTTAAAGAATAATACCTAAATGATCATATTTATTTCATACCAAAATACACAATAAATATTCTAATATTATGACAGTAAGTTGTACAACAATACAAAAGTTAAATAAAGTGGGGAAATGTCTTACTTTAAGTAGGAGCTTTTAAACTATATCATTTAAACCATTTTATACCCAAGTCCTAGCTTTTGAACCCTAAATAATGCCAAAACATTTAAGAGAAGAATTGGTCCAGAACAGTAATAATAAACAGCATGTCTACAATGAATACTGATAGTTACCTTCGAGGAAAGTATGAATTCTGGACAATGTAATAAAAGTGAGTTCAGTATATAATCGTCCTCGGTCAATATAATATGAACATATATAACGTATTGACCTTGTTAAAAGTCCATAATTGATCAATATTAACCTTCAATCTCATTATTGGCCCACTCATACTATGTAATGAAAAATAAAAAAGAGGCCTATAGGAGAGTGACATTTTTCAAACAAAACCTCAGTTAAGGATGTGTTATCTGTACTTTCTGTTTGTGTTAGGTATGTGCATTAAAAATTAAATTTTATGGTAAATGTCACTCCACTAATATTTCAGTACCTGGTTCCTATCTTCCAATATATAGCAGGTGCTCCACCGCTTTTATAATAGATAAAAGGTATCTATGCATGTCCGGGTGAGGCAGTTTTGCGTTTTCGCTCTATGAAATATAAAAGATAAAAACGTGAACCGCATCCGGCTAACATTTAAAAAGAAGATGCAGTTGTAAATTTCTACTGTAACAGTTAAAGAATTAAGCATGTTTTTTTTTTAAATATATTATACCCCCTTTTTTATATTACATTCACATTGTCCGTTCGTATGTCCAATACATATTTCCGCCGTTTTTTTTTTTTTCTTTCTCAAGTACTACTAAATGGAATGACTTTATATTTGGTTAGCAGTTTGGTAGTGGTGAGTTGAAAGCTGTGCGAACTTTTCGAATCTGTCAGACATAATTCCTATTTAGGGATACTTTGAACTTTTTTGATATGTTGAATAGACTTAACTTATACATATACATAGTGTGTCTTTCTATGTTGTCATGTTATACTATTGTTTCAGATAGGGTGAAGGTTGGCGCCTATTAAAACGTTTAAACCCGCTGCATTTGTTTGCACCTGTTCTAAGTCAGGAATCTGATGTTCAGTGGTTGATGTGGCTCATAAGTGTTTTTTATATAGATTAGACCAGTAGTTTTCCTATTTGAATGGTTTTATACTAGTCATTTTTTATGCCCTTTATAGCTTGCTGTTCAGTGTGAGCCAAGGCTCCGTGTTGAAGGCCGTACTTTGAACTATAATGGTTTACTTTTACAAATTGTGACTTGGATGGAGAGTTGTCTCATTGGCACTCATACCACATCTATTAACATTTTCATCACACTTTTCTCAAGTGTTAGTAAAAAGAAAAACTTCATACTTGGTCAGTAGCTTCACAGTGATGAGTTGTAACATGTGAGCATTTTTCAGATCTGACGGATACCTACTTCCTGATGTCTAATATTTTGAATTATCAAAGTGGTACGCTTAGCATAATAACTAGCTCAAATGCAAAAAAAAAAAAGAAAATAGGCAAATTAAGAAAAATGGAACTGATGGCCTCTTTTGCATGTTCCTAAATAAAAATAAGGAGATGCAGTATCATTGCTAATGCGGACAACTGCCTGTGTTTTCTGCATGGATTGACCATCTATATACTCATTTTTGTAAGCTAATATTGCCTTAAGATTTTCTATTCAGGGTTGTATTTGTTCTCAAATAGGGAAACTATTTTTAAACTCTACTAGAAAACAAACAAAATTTTAATAGAAAAATAAGTAAATAAGTAAAGAAAATTAATTAATATCAAATAAAATCAAGAACAAAATTGTTGACTATCTTCAGCTATCTGGCTACAGCAGCAGCAAAGTCGTTTAAGCCATATTCTAAAGCGCTGACATCTGCCTGTAGATTTTAGAGAGTGTTCCATTGTAGATTCTCCGTGGTTTGGATCTGTTATTTCAATATGAACTGATTTGATTGGTTCATTTTTATCAGATGACTCAGTTGACCGTCTTTTGATTGGTTCTTTTGTATTTGATCGCGAATTGACAGGTACAAGTGAACTTTTACTGGTTAAATCGAGTTGAAGTGAAATGACTGATTCAGTCGATTTTGGTTTGGTGGATCCAGATGGAAGTGCTCTTATTGTCTCGTGTCTTTCTTCTAATGCTGTGAAAAATGGTTTTAGTCTGGGTCTAGGTGTGTCTTCAATGTCACTGAATGTGCACCATTCACTGTTT